TCGGCTGTTGGATCGATGCATCGATACAAAACGATTATTATTTACACCCCTAGTAGCGACAGTGGAGAGGAAAAACGAAAGTTACGACTGTAGCTACGGTTCTATGAATCCCGGATGACCGCTAGAGGTGGAGCTTAAAGCACGAATGATAACTCTTGCGTGTTGGATTGTGGATGTGGTGAAATAAGCGTACATTCGGCGGGGCCTCACTCTGGAGGCTATTTGTTCAGCAGCCTCTTGGTCATCCCCATACACCTTTGCTGGTTTCACAGGGTTAACTTGGCCACCTTTCACCCAATGCAGGGGATCCTGTCCCAGCGCGCACCATCTTCCCAGTGAGGTGGGCATGTTTCGGGTTGTTGTTTCTTTGTGTGATTCCTCAGGACTCTGTTGATAATCGTCATCCGTGCTTTAAGCGCCGCCTCTGGCGGTCAGTAGGGATGAAATAGAACTCCAGAAACCTCCAGAAACCTCCAGCAGAACCAGGCTCAGTGTGAGCGGCCATCTGCTGAGGCCCACTGGGGTTCAAGGAGACAGAAGCAGAGATGAGTCGATGCAATCAGCTGGTTTTCCTTAGACAGAAAACTTTGAATCAATCTGACTGGATGATCTGGTGAACTGGAAAGTGACCTGAGATGACATGATGTGATTTGGAGCTATAAAAATAAACTGAATGTATTTTTATCCTCTGCTCTCGTTTTTTAACTCTCGTCCATCAGAGGTCAAAAATCGCCGTGTTTGAGAAGATGTGGTCCTACATGAAGGCAGCCGATCCTTCCGTGTTCGTAAAAACGACAGACGAGGGAGTGATGAGGGTCAGGAAATCCAAAGGCAAGTACGCCTACTTGCTGGAGTCCACGATGAACGAGTACATAGAGCAGAGGAAGCCATGTGACACAATGAAGGTGGGGGGGAACCTGGACTCTAAAGGTTACGGAATTGCAACGCCCAAAGGCTCCCCTCTAAGGTAAAACCCCGCCATTGCAATGTCGCTGGATAAAAGCCTGTATTGAAACGCATGAACACGTTTATCCATGAAACCAAACTGTTTTATGTTCTAATTCATTCATTTTTATTTATTTACAGTAATTAGATTGAATTTTGTTTTATTTCTCTATCATTTTCTTCCAAGGAGTTTGATTTAAGCGTAACTTATAATAGTTTTGAAAAAGCTCTGACTGAGGGATTTAGTGAATCATTTGACCTATGAGAAGAAGAATTTAGCTTCATATTCACTCAACAAAACAAAACGAGAATGTGTCAGTGCTTTTACAGAAATAAAGTGTTGTTAATTTATTTTTACTAATTAACAAAGCTTTCCATTAATCAAAACCTTTTTTTAAAAGAATCTGTGATCGGAGTAAAAGTTAACTTTATTTACATTATTCTTATGTTTTTCACGTTAACTGACGTTTCCTGTTTCTGTATTTCCTTCAATTTCACATAGTTTTTTAAAATAAAATAAAAACATAAAAAATGAAATATGATCGGCACCATTAGTTGCATTGAAAATTCCTCCCGTGGTTGATTGACGTTCAGTACCGTTGCTTAGCAACCAACATCCTACCCTAGAGTTCTTTGGCTGTCAGGAGAAATCTAGCAGCGAAACAGGCTTTAGAAAAGAGTCGAAATATTGATGATAGCGATCCGGGTGGAGAGGGAGAAACCGATGTAAGAGGACTGGATAGGAAGAGGCTCAGATTCTAGCTGCAAATGTCTGGTTTTTGGTGCAATATCTACATAGGTGTATAGAGGCCCATTTCCAGCAACTATCACTCCAGTGTTCTAATGGT